ATGAGGGTTAAGTAACTTGGCCAAGGTCATACATCTTGTAAGTAGTATGTAGAATCAGGATTTTGGACCCAGGCAGTCTGGCTACAAAGACCAGATAGTACCTGCTAAAAGGTCATCCTCAGAACTGGAAGTTGCCTAGTACATAGTAGTTTTTCAGAAAGTGTTTTGAATGCTTAGGTTATTATGTCCAGAGAGAAAAATAGCTGTATAAAGATGTTATCTTGCTAGAATGTGAGCTCCACCAAGACAGGGATCTTTATTTTGTGCATTGATTTAACACAGGTGCCTTGAACAGTTCCTGGCACATAGTAGGTGCTTATTGAATGAATGAATCTCCAAGAAAGGTTTTTTTTTTTAAAGGACATATGGGATCTATTTTAACCCGTTTGTAAGAAAGTGAGAACACTTCTCTCAGAAGTATAAGTTTGAAGTATGATTTCTGTTGTAAAGTTAAAGATCATAATTTGAAACAAAATTTTTTTTAAAAAATGTAGATACAATGTCATAGCTTCTTAAGATTGCTGCTGTTCTGTGGAGGCAAGCAAGAGAGGTGGTTTATGGAAGGTTTCTTCCTCCAAATAGTTTTGGAGGAAGGATTGTTCCTCTGTTCTCCTCACCAAAGTGTCCCTACTTAAATTTTACTGTCTTTTGGGAGCAAATAAAATAGTCTTGTTTAAAAAATTTTCTATACAGTTGAAAGTAAGATTTGGTTGAGAAATCTGTAAGGTTACTGTGTGTGATGATTAGTTTTATATGTTCAGTTTGACTGGGTTATAATACCTAGTTATTTCGGCAAACACTAATCTGTGTGTTGCTATGATGTATTTTGAAAATGTGGTTAACATCTATAATCAGTTGACTTGAAGTAAAGGATGTGGGTGAGCCTCATCCGATCAATTGAAGGCTGTAAGAGCTAAAACTGAGATGTTCTAGAGAAGAAAAAATTTTTCTCAGACTGCAGCATCAATTCTGCCTGAGTTTCCAGTCTACAGATGTGCCTTGCACATTTCAGAGTTGCTAGCCCTCTCTGCTGTGTGAGCCAGTTCCTCAAAATAGTGATATTTCTATATCCGTCTAGAGATAGAGGTAGATATTTGTGTTTATAGCTACATCTATGTCTATATATTTCCCTGTTGGTTCTTTATCACTGAAGAACCCTGACTGATTCAGATTTTGGTACTTAGAGTGGTTTTAGAGAACAGAATCCTAAGAATGAGTTTTCTGAATTGGTTGTGGGGTTTCTGGAAGTGGTTCTCTACTCTGATTAGATTTAAAGGCACTAAAGGACTATTTCCAGTGGTAAAGAGGGCATTGATAGTCTATGGTGTGATATGGAAGTAGAGATAGACAAAATATCACCATTGAGTACTACTCAAATGCTTATAGAAGGCAAGGTTCTGGATGACCATGTATTTGATACTTTAGAACATGTTTGTCAAATTAATGAGTGTAATGAGATTGGCTGGTTGCTCCTAACTGTGCTGGAGAAAGTGGGGAAAGAAAAGGATGCACTCAGGGCTTCAAATTCCCGGCTCAAGCTTCACATAAATGACCTGAAATTTTCTGTGTTTGCCCTAAAGAAATCCTTATCCCCTGTAGCTGCAGAACTGAGGTTGGTGAAAGCCACATCCAGAGCTTCATCCTGTAAATGACTGAATTAACAATGCAAATTGAATTTCCATCCTCACCAAGGCGTGCACTGATTGGGAAAGAATGGGATCCTCACATATGGAATGGGGCCACATGGCAACGTCCTGATGAAGCTGGGGATGTTAAACCCCTAAATTTTACTCAGTCTTTTTTGCCAGGAGAAGCAATCCTTTGACCTCCGCTTGAAGAGGTTACCCCTGCTTTGCCTGAAGAATGTGTAATGACCTCCCTCGGGATAATTGGCTTGCAAGACACTGCTGGTTCAGGACCTACCCCACCACCCCTCTTTGCTAGACTCAAGTCCCGCAGATCCTGAAAGGTAAGCTACAAAGTGTGATCTAGGAGGAAGTGTCCTACACTCCTTAAAAAACTGCATATTTTTTCTTTACAGTTTATCTAGACAGAAATCTGTTGAATATGTATGGGAGTGGATATTAAGGGTGTAGGATTATTATGGAAGGAACATAAAGTTGGTTGAGCATAATTTATTGATATGGGCCCACGAAGCAGAGCTTCTGGATTCAAAGTCATACCTCCAGGGGTTAGAACGGGCTCTTACAGTTTGGTTGGTTAGCTGAAACATGGACCAAAAGGTGGTCTACACTCAGTGAAGTTGAAATGCCCAAACTGCCTTGGTACACTATGGAGGAAGGTAACCAAAAGCTTAGGGAGATTGGGATGTTAGAGTGAATTAATCATAAAAGATCTGCTCATCTACCATGGGAGGGTCCAGAGGACACACCTTTCACTATGACTGTGAGAAACAAACTTGTGAGGGAAACCTTAGCATCCATGAAGAACTCTGCAGTTACTCTTCGCTGCAGGTCAGAAATTACAGTGGGAGCTGCTGCCACTGATTGGGGATCCTTAAATGCAGTGGGGAGAGTTGGATCCAGGGTGGCAGGGACCACGTCGTGGACCTTGATAACCAAAGACTAGGCAGCCATGATACCATCATGGACAGCAGGGTCAAAGCAGTAATGAAATGGTCTGACTTCTTGAGACTTGTAATGTTGGCTAGCTGATCATGGTGTCCCTAGAAGAGAAATAGATGGGGAGTCTGCTGAATTGTGACTTGATGGGTATAAGTAGAAAAGTTCTAGGTCAAGTGAACAGAAGTTTGACTTGAATTAACAGGAGAAAGAGTCATGGTCCCTCAGTCAATTCCCAGATTTGAGTCATTTTACAGACTCAAAACCCCTTGAATGAGGGGAGGCTGGGTCCCTCTGAGGAAGGACCCCATTGCACTGCCAAAAATTTATACTGTTAATTTTTTTCCCAGCCTTCCCCAAAGGGGCCTGTGGCTTCTGTTGGGGTGAATGTGCACTGGAGAAAAGGAAATACAGACTTTTCAGGGATTGCTGGACACTTGACTCTGACCTGACACTATTTCCAGGCACTCAAAGTGGCCCACCATTCAGAGTAGGGGCTTGTTGAGGTTAGGTGGTCAATGGAGGTGTAGCTCAGGCCCTCCTCTCGGTGGGTCAGTGGGTCCCTGTGCTCCTGCTGTGGTTATTTCCCCAGTTCCAGAATGCATAATTGACATAGACATACTCAGAGCTGGCAGAATCCCCATGCTTGTTCCGTGACCTGGGGAGCGAGGAATGTTGGGATAGGAAAGGCCAAGTGGAGGCTACTAGAACTGCTTCTGCCTAGGAAAATAATAAACCAATAGCAATACCACATTCCTGGAGGGATTGTGGAGATTAGTACACTTGAAGGATGCAGGGCTGGTGATTCCTGCCATATTTCCATTCAGCTCTCCTATTTGACGTGAGCAGAAAACAGATTACCTTGGAAAATGACAGTGGATTATCATAAATTTAACCAGGTGGTGACTGATTGCAGCTGCTGCTCCAGATGTCATGTCATTGCTTGCACAAATTAACCTATTACCTAGGAGCTTGCATGTATCTAATAATCTCCCAAATATTTTTTCTTAGTACTGTTAGTAAAGACCACCAAAAGGAATTTTCTTTCAGTGGACAGTGCCAGAAATATACCTTCATTGTCCTACCGGAGGAGTGTACCGCACCAACTCTCCAATGCTATGTTATAATTAAGACTGCAGGGACCTTGTTATGGGTTGAATTGTGTCCCCGAAAAATTCTTATGTTGAAGTCCTAGCCCTTAGTACCTCAGAAGGTGACCTTATTTGGGAATAGAGTTGTTACAGATGTAATTAGTTAAGATGAGGTCATACTGGAGTAGGGTGGGCCCCTAATCCAACATGACCTTACACAAAGGAGAAATTTGGACACAGACGTGCATGAGGAGAATGCCACGTGAACCTGAAGGCAGAGATTGGGGTGATACTTTTACAAGCCAAGGAATCCCAGCACACCATTAAAAGGAAGGAGAGAGGCCTGGAACAGATTCTTTCTTATAGCCCTCTGAAGGAACCAACCTTGCTGACACCTTGATCTTGGACTTCTAACTCCCGAACTAGAAGACAGTAAATTTCTGTTGTTTTAAGCCATTCAGTTCATTACGGCAGCCGTAGCAAACTAATATGGACCTTTCCTTTCCACGAGACATCACATTGGCCCATTACATTAATGACATTATGTTGATTGGACTTAGTGAGCAAGAAGTAACAACTATTCTAGACTTATTAGAAAGACATTTGCATGTAAGAAGGTAGGAAATAAATCCAAGAAAAATTCGGGACCCTTCCGCTTTAGTGAAATTTCTAGGGGTCAGTGGTATGGTATAGGGCATGTTCCCACCTACAACAAAAAAAGAGAAACGAGGACTAGTGGACCTCTTTGGATTTTGGAGGTGACAAATTCCTCATTAAGGTATACTAGTCCAGGCCATTTACTGAGTATCCCAAAATGCTGCTAGTTTTGAGTGAGGCCTAGAGCAAAAGAAGGCTCTGCAACAGGTCCAGGCTGCTGTGCCAGCTGCTCTGCCACTTGGGCCATGTGGTTCAGTGGATCCAGTGGTGCTTGAAGTGTCAGTGGCAGATTGAAATGGTTTTTGAAGCCTCCGGCAGCCCCTATAGGAGATAATCACGGTGTGGATCCTTAGGATTTTGGAACAAAACCTTGCCATCTCTGTAGATAACTGCTCTTGTATTGAGAAACAGCCTTTGGCTTACTACTGAGCTTATTAGAAACTGCATGCTTAACCATGGGCCACCAAGTTATTCAACCTGACTAGAAAAATGACTAGGATATTCAGCAGTTAAGAGCATAGACAGATAGCATGTGTTCAAATCCTGGTTATATTTGCTAACCATATGGTCCTTGAGTAATTGACCAAACTTTGTGTTTTAATTTCCTCACGGAGTCACTGTAGGTTGTAAATGAGTTAATACAGTGCTTAGCACAGAACCTGTCGATTTTTAGCTTATCACAACTAAAACTTATACTGCAGTGTCATGTGAAGTTATTAGTCCGTGTCTTTGAATGTGATTGTAGAATTTTTTGCCTTGATACAGCTGAAAAAATGGAGTGATTTCACGAATTCATGTAAACCAGAGCAGCAGTTTCAAATAGTGAACAGTCTCAGAGATATTTTACATGCTTTCAGCTCCTGAGTTTACTTCTTCTGAGAATTAGCAGTGATAGCAGTGGTCCAGGACTTGCGTGGGTGAAAGGGGAGCTGGGCATATGCAGTAGTAGCTGAGGAATGGCAATGAGAGAATAGACATCAGAAACTAAGAAGGGATCCTCCCAGAGAATGGGAGGGGAGTGGTTCAGATTCTGGGGATGCCAGGGGCAAAATGAGCCCTATTAGAAAGTCTCATTTATAGGCAAAAGTTATTTTGAAGGCAGCCATATAAATTAGAGATTCCCCATTTTTACTTACTTCTACATAGCCTTTGTAACTTCTTGGAATGGATAAATTGGATTAAATATGGTATTTTATTTGGTGTCCTTGATTTTTAACAGAAATGTGAGTTAGAGTAGCTCCTCCTTGCCATTTCAAATGCTGTTACAGTTTGAGCTCTTAAGTAGGCTACATGGTAATTTGTACCATTTGATAAAATTAGAGAAATTAGATAAACACTGATGGGCTTGTGATGTAATGTTTGCCAAATGGATGTCACACATCATCATAAGAAAAAAATAAATTTGCGTGGCACATCTTAGAAAGCAGACCTATGTGAAATTCTAAATGCAAGTTTTTTAAAGACATAGTTTAAAATTGGATGCAAAATACAAGAGCTGTTTGTTTGTTTTGTTTTTTTTTACAACATGGCTTGTGGTACTCTGCTGATCAGAGTACAGCCGCTCTCCGTGCTCACATCACCACATGAGCTCCACCTCCTGTCAGCTCAGCAGAGCATTGGATTCTCAGAGGAGTGCTGCCCCCACTCGTAAACTGCGCATGCGAGGGATCTGGGTTGCACACTCCTTATGAGAATCTGATGTCTGATGATCTGAGGTGGAGCTGAGGTGGTGAGGCTGGCGCTGGGGAGCGGCTGCAAATACAGATTATCATTAGCAGAGAGGTTGGACTGTACAATATATGTAATGTGCTTCAATCATCCCGAAACCATCCTCATCCTCCCCCGGCTCCTCCCACCCCATCCACGAAAAAATTGTCTTCTATGAAACCGGTCCGTGGTGCCAAAAACATTGGTTGGCAACCACTGCTTTATACAGTAAACACTGACAAAAACTAGGTAACCCACAGAGGATGTTACCAGTATTTTTCTCCAAAGCCAAACTGTAAAACAGATTCTGTTGCAATGGACTTGCTGTAAAATATGTGTATAATTTCTTATGTGTACTTTTTTGGTTTAACATACATAGGCCTTATTTTCTTTATCAAGTAAATTCCTGCATTGCTAGACATACTTTTAGTTAATTGGTAACAATAAGTTTGTATTAAAACTGATTTCATGATAAAAAAATAGAAGTGAAATTTATCATTTGGCCCTCAATCCTTCATTTTTAGGGAAAAGATACAATTTATATACATGAAGCAATTTGTGAGGAGGTGGGAGGTGTGCTAGATTAGCAATTCTTTTCTTGGATTCTTTTCACCTTTTTTGTCAGTAATTAGCTATGTGAAAGGAATAAGTTACGAAATACTGTATGTCCTTGCATTCCTATTCTGTAAATGTAAAGGATAGTACTAAGGGGCCTCTAAATTTCCTTCTAAGACTTAGCATTATGAAGTTCTAATACAAATAACTGATTAAACCTAAAGTTGCTCCTATTGTGCAGTTCTTCTCAGGGCCTGTATGGCCTGTCATTTTTGCAGTCCCTGTCACAAAGGCTTTGAGAAAATGAAAATAATCCCTACTCATCAGGTGGTTGGGAAGGGTTCCATAGGAGAGTAGGCTGTGTTTTCGATTGCTGT